CTCTGCCTCCTTCTACGGCTCCTCCGGTGCGTGAGGCCGACACTCCGCCTCCTCCAGCACGTCCGAGCAATCCGCGTCCTCCTCCACCTCGTCAGCAATGGCGGAAGATAGACGCCGCCGCTCCAGCTCCTCTGGCGCATCGGAGCACTCCGCCTCGTAAGCAACAACGGAAGAGAGACGTCGCTGCACCGGCAGCTAGCAGTATAGCCAGAGGCGGGAGGCAATACAGATACGGTCCATCTCTCAAGACTCCGAAAAAGTTACCATACGAGAGGACCGAGGAGGAAAATGCAAAGATCTGTGAAGCCCAAGTGAGGGAATTTTTTGCAAAGAAACCTCCATCGCTGAAGGAGATGATAGGTCCGGTGAAAGCTCAGCACACTATCGATGCCCTGAAGCAACCAGCACCACCTTCGCCAGATTCCAGTTATGTCCGCACTCTCAAAAAGACATATCAAGATGCGTGGTGGTCGGGAACTACTTCCAGTGATAAAAGGTTAACAGAACGAAGAAGTGGGAAAAAATTCCCTAGCTCGGCAAACAGGCGAACCAATCATGCCCCCCCCCCCACTCAAGGTGTCTAGCAATATCGTCGCTAATCTGCCGGGGATGGTGCCTGGTACCAATCCTGCTGATTACCTGGGCGATGATGTAGCGTTTGATACAATGGAGGTGGACGAATTCAGATACCAGTACGGGAAGCCTCTCGTCAAAGATGGAAGTCTGCCTCTAACAACGATGATGCGAAGATTCCATGAATGGTACATGAAAACCTGCAACGAGTCTGGGAAGGATGTTTTGACGATGAGAATTAAAGAGGAGCACGACCTCGTTGGAACTGGTCTGTTCTCTGTTGAATTTAACGAGTTATTCCAGTTATACAATCAAAAGGCCCTCGACCAAACACTCATGACTTGCTACTGTCTGTAAGTACTACTTCTATAATTAAGTCTCTGTATATAGCTCAACTCTTTCATTGCATGTGTATATATAATTATCCTCACTATATTATGCAGATTGAAGATCGTCGAATGCAGAAAAGCAGAAATCTATGACATTGGGTTCATTAATCCAAATATCATACATGAATGGACGGTTAAACACAATGTCACAGAAACCGAGGACAACTTGCTACAATCATTGCTAAAAAATCAAAGCAAAGATAAAATACTCTTTCCTTACAACTTCAAGTGAGTGTTACTGTCTTGTGCATATTCGGTTTCCCTTATTACTGGAGGTTATAGTAATGTAGCTGATGAGTTATGCATGTGTGCGCAGTTTCCACTTTATTCTCCTAGAGATTAAGCTTGAGCGGGGAGTAGTAACCGTCTTAGACTCGAGACGAAAAGATCCCGAGGACTATGCAGACATGACTCAAATGCTCCAGAAGTAAGTTCAATCGATCATTATCGTACCATATCGACAACTTTGTTCATGTCCTGATATCAAGTAATTATTTTCTTTGTCTGGCAGGGTTTGGAAAGAGTTCACCGTAATTTCTCCGGGACCGCCAAGCAAGCTGTGATTTACACGCGCGAAAGTAAGTACTACTACCTAGTTCCGCGCATCTCCCATTGATTCTAGCTAGTTTCATCAATACCATTTAGCATGCTTGCTTATCAGTTTGATTGACCTCTATTTCTCGTAAAGTGCTTGTGGCGGGAATCCGGGAATGATTTTTGTGGATACTACGTTTGCGAGTTCATCTACAACGCGACGGCCTCTAATAAGTAGGGCTACTCCGAAAAATAATATGAAGTGCGTAAGCAAAAATATTATCATCATTTGTGTTGAGTTTCATTCATATACATGTATTGACCCTCTTCTTCAATTTAGATCTGGAAGATGCGGGATGAACTCCTACCACAAGATCGCATACGAGCAATTCAAGAGGAATTGGTGGGATTCTTTCTTGACCACGTCATCAATAAAGCCGGAGAATACCATGTGGAAATTGATATAGACATGAGATGTTAGGGATTGTAAGAGATCTTATATTGTATATATGTAGCTAGTAGCGTCGGATAGATATACGAAAACTTGTTGTTCGACAAATCTCTCGGATAAAGAGAGGTGCACTCCTCTTTGTATATGTTCATGACAATCTTGTGTAATTAATGGTTCCTTCATTTGCTTACTAGCTAGTGTGTTGAGTTCTCTCTATACGTATAGTAGCTAGCGTCGACCGAGCACGGTGATAAGAGAGGTCACTTCTCTCTATTACCTAGCTAACACAATATAAGAAACCCCTAAATTAACCCTCCAAAACCCCCTGACACCCCCCCCCTTTAAAAAAACAAAAACTCCTGCTCCAGCCAGCTGCTGACGCGTGGATGCCTTTTGGTCCCAGTTTGTGTTACCAACCGGGACCAAAGGTGCTCCTGCCTGGGCGCCCCGCAGCAGCCACGTGAAGCCCCTTCTGTCCCGGTTCGTGAGTGAACTGAGACTAAAGGTTTTGGGCTTTAGTCCCGACCCTTTAGTCCCGGTTCCAGAACCGGGGCTAATGGGCCTCTGGAACCGGGACAAATGGCCCGTTTTCTACTAGTGTACACATTTACATAGCTTGCAAATGTCCAATATCTATCAGCACTTTGCTCGTTATCCCTGTCTCAACATCCCATCTTGTCTAACAGAGCATGACTTATCTAGGACAAGGGAGGAAACGAGGAGTGGAGCCTATCAAAACATTGTTGAGAAGAGCAGTTGTCAAGTTTAAAATTCGTTTTTGACAATTTTACAACCTAAATGCTAGGTTGATGACCCTACTTGTTCGGATCCATGTTCAACACAAGTTATTTGTGAACTCCGTGGATGAATTCATAAGGAACTTAGTGCAACATGGCTAATTTCACTGAGAAGAATCAGTAGAGAACATAAATCTTCTCCATGGAAACAAGTCCCTTTCAGCTTCAGTTTGGGTCATGTATTTATTTCTTCTTTTGCATATGTGGCCATAGAAGTTGTTTCAGAGCCTGATTCTTATGTTATATTGAGGTTGTGAACTAATTCCTATCTTTTGACTTTTCCACAACATTTGTTAAACATGACCTTGACTCAGGTTCAGTTATTAACCCAAGCATTCTTTTCCCCTTTTTTATTAGGAAAGGAGCAATCACGTACTACAACTTTTAACTAGTCAACAAAAGAGCCTGGCCGACGAATAATCCTATTTACAAACACAAACCCTTTCTTTGACCAGAGCAGAAATGGGTGATGTTTTTATGTTGCATGTTTGGCCCTTTGACCGGAGTCCTTGGTCACCCTATACCCCCGAACATGCAGGTAGTCAACTCGGTGAAATTATGTATATGTGTCTGCTTGGTACGCGTGGCTAATCACTTCTCTTCGTTAGAGCAGGAAATAATGGTTACATGGGTTGGACTGTGGTTCACAAGAGGCTTTGTCTATATATTTTTAAACCTCTTTATGTAAGGCCTCTCTGAATGTTATAATAATATTGTTATATGTTTGATATGTGTGTCTACGAATGCAAATACTGGATACAGTACAACTTTATGTCTCAAATACATATTCATAATTTGCATAAGATGTCAAATACTCCGATCCTTATTTCTCTTTAAGAAAGCAATTATTTTATTATTTTGAAAAACTGACAACTCATAATGGACATAATAGAGCATCTACTACTAGAAACTAGAACACCATATCCAATAAATCACAATAAAAAATTCTTATCTAATTTGATGTAGTGAATTAGTTATTTAGTACCTGGTGGAGGAATCGCAGCATGACACGGCGTTTGGTTGTATTCTATCTTTGTGGTGGGGGTGTTATCGCTTGTATTGGCACCTATATAACATATTTGTGAGTCTCCTTTCTATTTTAGTACAAAAGGCATGCAATGTCCCCTCAAAAAAACCATGCAATGCTCTTGCATCTTCTTGAAAAAGTTTTGGCTTCAGCCAAATGATCAACTGTACATTGATTTAGTCATTGCTTATTCCTAGATTCTAGGATGTCAGCTTACACAGTTAAGATTTTAAATCATAATCCTCAATTCTAAAATACTAACTCACTATCTATTTGCTCTCGCCAAGCACATCGACAAGTCATATATGTGATTGTAAGTTACATTTAATGCACTAAAATCTATCCATGCAACCATGCCACCTCAACAATCATACATATCATGCATAAGTTAAATTATTTGCATTAAATTTTGTGTGCTAATGAATGGTTTACATGTTGGACGCTCCTTGGAGGGGGAGCAAATGTTCGTAGTCCAGGCTTAACAAGTTTGTTAAAAATGACACTCCGTTTATTTTGCGGGTAAGGACACTTTGTACCATTCAAAAAAAAGGACACTTTGTTAACTTCATTCTACAAGTTTTTTTCTCTTGTTGTACATTACATCTTTCACGTGCTTCACAGTATGTTTTATTGTTTCTAAAATGTAAATTGAGAAATCTTATACATATTTGCTTTCGCATTAGTTTATTTGTTTTTCAGCACACATTTATGAATCTGTTTTCGCAGTGTTTCCGTGGCAACAAGCCGGTATGATCTTGTTGCTCTATGATGTGTCTTGCCATGATTTTGTTTGCACTTATGGGTGGTACATTGGGAGTCTCCCATTCATTCTTATGCACTTTTTTTCTGTATCTTGTTAACTCTATTGGATCAAGGCGTTTCTGTAACAGAAAATCGATGGGACGCCTGTTTTCTCACAAAGATCAAACTATTGGATCAAATGCATCAAGCCATTGTGACACACCACATCACGGAAATTAGCTTGTCGGTGGCTGGGCTCGCACGAGGTGACAAATATTGACAAGCACATGTGTTGAAAATGTAAGAGCGACAGATTCCAGAGTACAGAAGAGATGAGAAAGATGCATCCGGCCGTACGTATCATTTCCACAAGCTTAGATCAAATGCGCACACAGATGAAAGGCCAAGAACAAGAAGGGGGGAAATTACAGGGGGGAAGACGCTAGCATCCGCGCAGAGGGTAGAAACAGAATCAAAAAAACAAAACACTAGCGGTACTTCCTGGACGAGGAGTTCATGAACCTGATGCACTCCTCCACGGCTTCGCTCTTGTGGGAGTCATCGGCGACGACCACCGGCCCGGACTGCCGCCTGCTGCTGTTCCTCGCCGGCGTATACTCCGGCGAGCGTGAGGCGGCACTGGAAGTGGAACTGGAAGAGCCTCTCCTGCTCGGGGCCGACCAGAACGCCGTGACGACGCTCACCCTCGCGCGCTGGTAGAACCTCGCGGCGGTCCACCGCGCGGTCCTCAGCAGGCGGCAGCCTCCGCGCGGCTGCCTCGGCCGGGCGTCCGGCTCCGACGGCGCCGCCGACCGGCCGCCGGACCTGCTGGCCTGGCGGGAGAACATGGGGTTGCCGCTGGTGGTGGTCTCCGGGCTGATCCTGGTGCACTCGCTGCCCTTCCTCATTGCCGACCGGAGGTATGGATGCCTAGCTTGCTTGCTTGCTAGCCCGAGATGGCGGGTCAGTGTCTACGTATCACACCAGGGTGGCCTAGGCACGCCTCGTTTTATACTATGATGAGGCAAGAGTATCTATGTAGCCTGCTCAAAGGAAAAGCAGGCTGGTACTGTACTGTGCTGCAAGAGTATGTGACAAGAGCATGAAAGGCAAGGCTCAGAAAAAGAAAAAGAGGCAAAGCGGGGAGACAAGCTAGTGAAAGGAAAGTTTGGTCTAATTGACCGCCAAAATGGTAGTCCTCCCGATCAGATCACGCAACCCCATGCCATGAAGAGGTGTACGCATCAGCTCTTCCAGATCCTTCAATATGACCGCCAAGGCCAAGGCTTTAGCTTGCAGCTTTCATTCACGAAGAGAAAACACGACAAGAAGGGGGTGGTGGGGGCGCACCGGCGCAGTATATTCTTGTTGCCTAGCGGTGGTGGTGGTGGCCGGAGAATATCTCCCGTGGAAGCGAGCGGCACGGCGCGAGCAGATCTGGCGAACGCAGCCGAGGTGCCCTGAATGGGAGAGAAAAGGGAAAGGGCGGAAAAGGACGCGGTCGATGCAGCGAGGGAGGCGCTGGGCCGGGCGGCTCTTTTGAGGCCAGCAGGCCGGACCCCCTCCCGTCCCCGGCCAATGGCGCCGCGCAAGGCGACGCCCCGCCGCTGGGCCGGCCGGGGGGACATGGAATTGACGGGGCGGGGCACGCGACGGTGCTCTCGCTCGCCGCGACGCGAGGGACAGGGGTGGGAGCGCGCGCGCCGTTCTAGGCACGGTGACATGGGACGCGACGTGTGCGGCATGGCGGCATGCATGGACGACCGGACCGGTGGCCGCCGCGGGCGCCAATCATTGCGCAGTCGCGGGGGACGTTTTCTCTCGGGAAGTGGGGCGCTGCATGCATCGTCGCTGATCGATCGACGGGCAGGCAGGCAGGGCCCCCCTGCTCTGCGTGTCTGCTCCGGCAGACAGATCGCTGCGGGGCTGCAGTACGGCGGCGTGCCGGCAGGCAGCTCTGGCTCTGCATGCAGTCGTCTTTGCTTTCCCTGCTCGCTTCGGATGCTGATTGTTCCGGCCGAGCTGTCCTGATACAGGTTTCATGGTGTGACGGGGCACCTTGGAGACCGGGAGGTGCGGTTTTTCTTGTCGTTTTGAGAATCCAATCCATCCATCCCTACGCTTTGACTGGACCCGCCACGTAACCATCGGATGGTACGAGTAGTTTGCATGATTGCTCGGGCGCAAAATGGAAAAAGTTTTTGGGTGCTTAGATGAGGTGCTAAGTATATTAAATGTCTTAGTAATTCAAGTTCCCAATGCAAAGGTGCTAAGTTTTGGAGGGTTAAATTTCGTGTTTTGATCCTTTTTCTAAAACCTATCCGAGATTTGACCCTACTTTAAAAAAAAATCGAGATCTGACCATTTTGCTACCGTCAGGGACCATGGCGCTAGGGTATAACAGCTTACCGCCAAGGTCCCTGGCGGTAGGGTTGTATGCCCTACCGCCAAAAACCTTCTAAGTATTGAACACAGTGCGTGCTCGTGCCTATCGCCAAGCACCTTGGCGGTAGGGTTGTGCAGGCTATCGCCAGCCCGGTTGGCGGTAGCGATGTTTCCTACCGTCAAAGTCTCTGGCGGTAGGCTGTTAAACCCTACCGCCATGGACTCTAGCGGTAGCAAAAGGGTCAGATCTCGAAAAAAATTCAAACTAGGGTCAAATCTCGAATAGGTTTCAGAAAAGGGTCAAAACACGAAAATTTGCCGTTTTTGGGTGCTAAGCTTCATGCATTTAATTAGTTGTACACTCAGAATTATGCTTGCACCTAGGTACACGTGCTTGGCATCGTTTCTTCTTGGGGTCACCATAGTGCTCTTTTTCTTCTTAACTAGCAATGCCACATCAGATTTTTTTGCTTAGTTGACAAGCTTAGCACCTGTAGGAGGTAAAGCATTGGGAGTGACCTTACTCCATGGCTCCATGCACAGTATTCCTTGGGAAATGACATGACGGTTTTTTATGGGAATCAAGAATGACGACCGGCTTTGCATTGCATGGTTGACGAGCAAGCTTTACTGACGTTAACACGCCACCCTTAACCCTGCCTACGCTGATTTTGCGTGCTCGGACCAACACGTTATCTGCTGAAATCATACTACACGGCTCATCCAAATGGATTACCCCATACTGGTAAAACTGTTCGTGACCGTGAAATCCTGTTACTCCCTGACTGAATGTCCAAATCCGGAGGAACAAGACAGGGACCATTCATTCAGTTTCACTCATAACGCCCCCACAAAGAAAGTTTCACTCATAAGTATTTTTACGCGACATATGGTCCAGTACAAAAAAGACCTAAAGCATGGCGTGGTGGGTAGGAAAACATTTCACTCCAGTAGGTAGGTCGCCTTTCTTCTGGGAGGGTCTTCCATGATGCGGGACGCAGAGCTAAGGGAACTCGGCACGTTACAAAAGTTGCATTATTAGGGTCGTACGCAAAAAGGAAAAACAACCCAATTACCCAAAGGCGCACTTCACCCAGGAACCTCGAAACGCAATCCAGGGTGCTAGAAGCCTTGACCGGTTCTTCTCACCGTCGCGTCGAAATTGACGCGGCAGATTTTCGTTTCTCTTCCGGCCCATGATTACGGGGCCTTCTTTACTCTTTTCTTTTTCAGTTTTACTTGGACTGGACTACATATACGAGGAGGCACTATTTTGCACGTAGGATGGTGTGAATGGCCACCAATCCCGCACAGCCCTGCAAATCAAATTCGAAAAAAGTTCTTAATTCCAAAACAGTTCATGAATTCGAAAAATGTTCATCAGTTTGAAATATGTACGGGATTTCAGAAAGTGTTCCTGAATTTCTAAAAATGTTCAAACATGCAAAAAAATTGTGATTTTCAAAAATTCTTCCTAATTTTCAAAAAAGATCATCTATTCGAAAAATGTTCATGAATAATCTTCACGAGATTCAAAATATGTTCGTCAAATCGAAAAAAGTTCATGCATTTAAAAAAGTGTTCCAAATTTCAAAAAAATATTCACCGGTTTTAAAAATATATTATTGAATTAAAAAATTCATAAAATTTCAAAAAATGCTCCCAAATTTATAAAACAATCTCGATATAAAATGTTCATAATTTCAAAAAATGTTCGTGAATTCAAAAAAAATTCACGATTTTCAAAAAAAAAGTTCAAAATCTAGAAGTTGTTTGCAAAAGAAAAATGTAAAGCAAAATTGAAATAAAAATTAAGGAGAGAAAAGTGAAAATTTTAAACCAAAAATAATAAGAAGAAACCCAAAAAAACAATAAAACAAATGGCTTGGTAAGGTTATAAAACCTCCCCAAAACCAGAAGTGGGAGCTGCGCTACTTGGACCGGCCCAAATTCATTATCGACCAACCGGGGTGCGTTTGGTCGACAACGGTCAACAGAGGCTTCTCGTTTGGGCCCTTTTTTTAGAGAAAACATGTAACATTTTTCATACTCATAACAATTAAAGGTAAATTATTCATATCTAAGATCAAGAAAATACAAAGTAACTTATATGACTAAGAATTACAGTTAGAACTCATAGAAACACCTTATTTGTGGTATCAATCCTTGCTAGAGTAAATAATACCAAGACTTCGGTAAAGTGACTGTAATTGGACTGAAAAAACGATGTTGTCACTTGTTCCCTGTGGGAACATTACCAATAAAGATTTTTGAAAGCGCCTTGAGTCGCCCGTCTATAAAGTTGGGAAGCCCTGGTCAACGAAGGTATTTGGGCCGAGGATGATCCCCCAGAAGTGTTGGCTGTCGAGTAATAATATCTTCATCAAGGTATCCGTGAAAGATTTGACCCCAACATAAACTCATCAAATTCGAATAATTAGATTTGCGAGGACACAAACTCCCAGACCCCATAGCACCTCCAAAAGTACAAGAGAAATTTTATTATCATAAAATGATGATCACTAGACGTTGATGAAGAATATAGAACTCTTGACGACCACTAGCTGTAGCCGAGGGGACCAAACATTCCAACGTGGCGATGGCTGCTACAGCCTTCACGAAACCCTCGCGTCCTGGATTACTCTCCACAGATTTGTTTTACTTCCGTTCCCTAGTTAGTGACACCAGTAGTTGGTTCACTCGGGTCCTTGCTTGATCAGTTGACTGTTCACGGGTTACCTGGTTGACCGTTGGCCAGTCAACAGGTTGACCGTTGTTTTTTTTAGAAAAGATAAAGGAATCGGATAAAGTTCATGGATTTGATAAAATAGTGCGTACATTTTGGAATACTTCATGGATTTGAAAAAAATGTTTGAGGATGTAAAAAGACTCATAAATATAAAATTTCTTCGTGAATTTGAAAATTGTCCATGATTTTCAAAAAAGTTCATGGATTTTTAAAAATTGTTCATGGATTTGAAAAAGTGTATGCATTTTGAAAAAAGCATTCATGAATTTTTAAAAAAGTGTTCATGAACTTGAAAAGGTTCACATAATTGAAAAACATCAACAATTTTAAATTTCCATGAAATTGAAGAAAACAAATGTCCATGAGTTTGAACAAATGTTCACAAATTTTAAAATATTACCTTCGCCCCAAATTAATTGTCTTAAACTTGTTAAGATATAGATATATCTAACACTAAAACGTGTGTACATGCATTCGTATCTTGACATACTGACAAAAGGTTCATGCATTTATCGAAACTGGATTACAGTCCTGTCCTGTAGGCATTTGGGGCCACTAAAGCTATATCTCTCTTAACGCGAGATCGTAGCTTCCCTCGCCCGCAACGCCACGTATATGGTCCGGCCCATTAGGGGTCGCTTGATCGTATGCTTCCGTGTTCATTTCGGTTGCTGTTGGTGTTGGGGAACGTAGTAATTTTAAAAAAAAAAATTACGCACACGCAAGATCATGGTGATGCATAGCAACGAGAGGGGAGAGTGTTGTCTACGTACC